GCCGGCTTTGTCTACAATGCTTTGCACAACTAGGGGATTCTTGAGAATGTGCTAGCCCTTGTCACGCTGGAACCGAATGCCGCCTGCTTTGAGGCAGCCGACAGCATCTACTTCTACTTCCTTGGACGTTGGTCTCATCACTCTCACAGTAAATAGTCCGTCCTGAAAAAAATGCGATGCATATGATACAGCTACTTGCTAATTAACAATAGGTATCTTAAAAACGTGCAGATTTCCACTTGTAGGTGATGGTCAGTTGAGGTGCCAGTTACGGACTAGACCGGCTTTATTTCCTCCCAGGCACGTCTGAATGAATATATAAAATGGGCAATCAGTTAAGCAGATATGAAACTACAAGATGGCGTCCATTATCGGGATGATGATGGTGAAATCAGGAGTAACATATTCGCCCGCGACACGAGAGCGTGTAAACTACCAAATCTTCATACGTACAGAGTAATATCGCCGGCGCAGTCAACCGGCAGCCAGTGCACCAGGGTTGGAATATCTGGTCCGCGCATCCACACCCAGCTCGAAACACGGTCTGATTGAGTCTCGCTATCGGGTCACGCACATCCTGAAATCAGTAAGCCAAGTTATCAGCACCCATGTGCTTGTGGTGATCCGCAATCAGCAACATTATTAGTCACAGCAACACGAAACGGTCACTCAGTTGAACTCAAACAGAACAGGCAGTCACAGACGCGCATGCCATCCTGCAACTTGAACACAAGAGGACCGCCTCCCGGTAATGAGAGCCTTCAGGAAATGGACTGTGGTAAGATCATGCTGGCCAATGACGTTAAGCTCTGGCAAGTCATTAAGGGTACGAGCGACCGGGAAGCTCTGCAGAATAACCTGCGCAGACTGCAAACGTGGTTCGAGAGATGGCTCCTGGATTTCAATGGGCAAAAGTTTGCAGTCCTCAACCCACATCCAACAAACTACCCTATAGGTAAGGGCATATGACCTGAACAACACTCAAATTCCCGGAGAATCGGCGCAGGAAGACATCGGCATTTGCGTGCAGAGCAATCTCAAGCCATCTTTGCAAACAGCTGCAAATAGCGCTAATGGAGTACTGCACGCTTTCAAAAGGGCGTTTGTAGCTTTCGAAACAGAGCCCTTTTGTAAACTCTACGGTACTTTTGTTCGACCACATCCAGAATATGGCATACAGGCGTGGGGACTATGGCTCATAAATCCCTTTCCCCTCCATTATAGACAAGACAGCGAGGACCTTATAGCAACTTTTCAGTTACTAAGGGGAACTGGTCTGGATGTCAAATGGAGGGTCTTTTTCATATGGCCCCAAGAAGGAACCTCAGAAGACATGACTGCCAGTTGAAGAAGGAACTAAAGCGAACAAACCAACGTTTATCCTTCTTCTCTCAAAGGGTCATTCGACAGTGGAACTCCTTGCCCGAGTCCTGGTGCATTCACCCAATGTGAACGTCTTTAAGAGACGTTTCGATGATCATTTGTTAAAGCCCAACAGCCACCTGTTACAGATGACGACAAACACTACAAACAAACATACTACTCGTTTGATTTCAATAGCGTAGGTATTTACACTAAAAGATCACAAGAGAAATATCTCACACTGAATATACAGTTAACTTTTTGTACACTGCCATTCCGCAAAGGCCCTATCTTCTCAACAATTCATATTTCCAAAATATTTCTATGCACTTTTGCACAACAAAAGCTATTTGTAACAATGTTTGCATATTTCACAAAAACTTATGCATTCCTGTACCGTTTC